GAAGCTGTGGCTGAAGTGAAAAATATGTAAATAAAAATGAAATAAGGTGGTAAGAAAAGACCACAGACACCTTGGTGTGATAGCTGCTGAAGCGGGGACCTCACATGGTTTGGCATTTTCAATTTTATGTAACATCAACCTCAACAATCTTTGAAAATTATTACATGAAGACCAGCTAGCTCAAAAGCAGATCTTTCATCAGTTTTAAAAGCAAGGAAAATGCAAAAATGCAGGTGATTTTGTGGGATGAATTGTAGCTGGGGAGTCTTCAATTTACCAATATGATTCAAAGAGCAAGGTCCTATCAAACAGTGGCTCCTAAAGGAATCTGCTGGACCAGAGCGATCAACACAGAAGGTTATGTTCATTGTTATTTGAGATTCTTAAGGGGTTATCTGGGTTATTTTGAAAGACACAGAGCAATCAAAGAGGATTACTGGGAAGAAGTCTTCAGAAATTTGAAAAATGCTTGGTGAGAAAAAGATAATGAAAACTGTCTCGTGGAATTTTTACTTTCATCATGACAATGTACCTGTGCTCCTTCTTTAAGGGTAGCAGGGACTATGAGGATGTCATTGGAAAAACTTAGTCCAGCCTGCTCACTCACCTCAGTCCTGATCTTGCCCCTTCAGATTTCGTTTGATTCGCAACACTCAAAGAATCCTAAAAAGGAACACAATTAGAGTTATTTGAGAATGCCAAAAGTGCCATTTTGACATGGTTGGTACAAATCAAAGAGATAATAATTCTTTAGGGGAGGATTGTAGAAATGAAGCCAACAACTGCCCTTAAATCCAGATAAAAGATATTATGAGAAACACCAGCTTCACATTTTTATTGTTGTTAGTGTTGTTGTTTTATAATGGCTGCTATATTTTATCTCACTGCCATCGAGTCAATGCTGACTCACAGCGAAGCCCTATAGGTTTCTAAGCCCCGGTGCTGTAATGGTTACACATTGGGCTGCAATACAAATGGCTGGTGTTCAAAATCACCAGCAGTTCCTTGGAAAAAAGACTGTGGTTTCTACTCCCTTAAATGGTTACATTTTCAGAAACCCATAGGGGATCATTGTGAGTCAGCATTGACTTCATGGCAGTGTGTAATGTAGGGTTCTCTAGAGAAACAAAACCAGGACACTTATGATTAGATAGATAGATAGATAGATAGATAGATAGATAGATAGATAGATAGATAGACAGACACAGCCCAGAGGAATATAACATCTCATTATTCCACACAGCAGTACAGAGGACTCAGTTCAACTCACTTCCATGGAACAGTTAATACACTGGAAGTGCTTTAACTCACGAGGGTTGCTGGGTCCACCATCAAGGAAGCAGAGAGCTGAGTCTTCTGTAGAGCAACACAGGCAGTCCAGCCACAGGCAACAAACAGCAGGGTGGGTTACCAAGTCAGTCAGCAGCTCAGCAGCTTAGCGAGTGAGGCCCAGATGGTATTCTGAACTCAAGCAATGCAAGACGACAAGACCTGCAAGCTTCTAGCTCAAGCAATGTACACACCAGCAGCATGGCAAAGCAGGTCTGAAAGAAACCTCAAGCTCTAGGGACACGATCCATGGTTGGCTGTCCCACAGATAGTTTAGCTCACAAATTGAGGCTGAGAACTAGCTCAGCAGTTTCCCACTGGTTCGATCACTAGAGAACAAGAGAGAGAGGGGTGGGCCTGGATGAGCCATTTATCTCTTTGCCCTCCAATCAAACTGTGACCTTATTAATCCCACATGTTCCTATTGGCCAAGTTGGCACAATAAACCTACCTATCACAGGCAGTGAGTGAGCTATATTCTATAGCAATACTTTTTTTTTTACTTATCTTCATATCTGATAGAATTTATTTCTTATTCTACTTCTAAAATATGTGATAAATGAGTTAGCCGTAAACATAAATAAGAGGCAAAATGACGCTTACAATGATGTTAATTTCAAAAGTAAGGCAGCAACAACAACAAAAGACCAAACATTTTAAATAGGTAGTTAAAGTATATTTAAATGCAAGTATTTATAATATAGAATATGTAAATCATTGTAAGTATTTATAAGCTCTAAGCGTTTCTCAAAGAATTGGACCATAGTATACTTATAACTCACAGTGTCTTTATCCTTAGGCAAAGAATATATGAAATTTTATATCTGTTTTCTGTTTTTGTTTGTTTTTAATGTGACCATGTGATTGCATTAATGTTCATCTGGCAACAGTCATCTGATTGTAGTTCCATATAGTAAAATATGGAACTTCTCTCTTAAAAGACTCTTGACATAATGGAAAAAAATATGAAAACAATTTATATCATCAACGTGAAACTAAGAAGGAACCATCACTAAGCATCGCTGAAGAAATATCTAAACATAGAAAAGAGATTGTATTAGAATGAAGACAAAACCTAACAGTACCAAAAACACACCTAACATATTAGAAAAAAATGAGGGAACATTTGAAAATAAAAGTATTGCCCCTTGGTAAACCAAACTCAATACCTAGAATTCTCACAGCAGGAAGGAGTCAGAGGAGGTAATCAGTATGGTCATTAAATAGCCACTCCTGTACTCAGTGTGGCTGACAGCGGTTTGTCCTTCAGCAAATGCTGTGAAATGCGTTCAGGAAATAAAGTAGCATATTGCTTGCTAGACTCAAAGAGCAATATGCAGCAGAGAGGTAACTTCAAGGACTTAACAAGTGCCACAGGCAGAAGGTTTTGTAGTGAATGCTACGTATCAACGTGTCTAGGTTTTGATTGTCCGTAGTTTGCCACACACTATGAAATCAACTTTCATTTTGTGATACGATATGCATAGCCAATCAATTGAAAGGAGTTTCCTTGTGTCTGGTCCTGCCTATAGTATATAAGCGGATATTCTGGCAAAGCTTGGTCTCTTGAATTGGTATTACATGGAGGTAAAAAAGGATATGTCTGAAATCCAAGAGATTCCATAGGTTGCCTCTCACTCGCAGAGGC